TCACCCTGGAAGATATTGAGTGGCCACACAGAGCTGTCCCACCAGGTAGACAGCATCCTTACGTTGCCAGTCTCTGAAACACATACCAGATCCTCCTCCTGCACAGACACTCTCCTCAGCCTATTTGACTACTGACACCCAATCCCAGGACATCCACAACCAGGCAAGGATGCTCTGTTTACCCTACTAGACGCTAAGGTCACACACATTGACGTGCACCATATACATACTCTTTACCCATGCCTGGTCTACCCGCTACAAGGAGCTCCTTTCAACCTTCTGTGTCTCTGAATCCCAGCCCACTCTGGAGCCAACACCATGCATGGGTGCCCTCCTCACTCTGCACAGATGTCCTCCTCACCCTGCACAGGTGTCCTCCTCACTCTGCACAGGTGTCCTCCTCACCCTGCACAGGTGTCCTCCTCACCCTGCACAGGTGTCCTCCTTGCTCTGCACAGGTGTCCTCCTCACTCTACACAGGTATCCTTCTCGCTCTGCATCAGTGTCTTCCTCACACTTCCAAATGTCCAGTTACTCCATGAGAACCCTCTGCTCACCTATCTGGAGTTCTGACTCCCCACAGGAAGTGTTCTCATGAGTTGCTTGAGCACAGACTCCCTATAAGGAGTCTAGCTGCCCTCCTCACCTCTCAGTCTCTGAAGTTTCAACCAGACTACTGCTTGTGGACTCTCTCCTGAATCCAGAAACTTTCTCACCAGCCTGCTGACATTCTCCTCACTACTTGCGCCCCAGTTTTGCTGTCAAGCCAGTCTTCGGCATGGTTACCCAGCTTGGGTTTTCATACCCTCAGACAGGCCATTGCTGCCCCACACCTGACCCTTCCACAGACACCTGCCTTGCCCTTCCTATACCATTCTTTATTCAGTAACTTCCTAAGGAACTGAGGTACTACAAGGAGAGGAAACCAGATATGACAGAGAATACACAGTCTTGAGCAATTATTAAACCTATCGAGTATTTATTTTCATGTTCATAAATATTTCTACACACCACTTCACTCCAGTCACAGATGCTCAGGGGTTTTACCTTCTCAGCAAAATATATTTCTAAAGTTACCATATCTCACATACACTAGAATGAGCCATGCACAATATTCAGGTGGCTTCCCACAACAAATGTTTCTCATGTGTGTATGCCCTAAGGGTCTGGCCATTGGCCACTATACTCTGTTCAGCTTCTTTCCACACTTATCATTTGGGATACAAGTCACAGAGAATGACAGCTCCTTGTAAGCTGAACACATAGTAGCTTCCTGTATTTAGAGAATCTAGATTCATTCTCATTCTATGGGCCAGGGAAAGTCACCTGGACAAACCAGCTGATTAGGGTTGAAAGCATACTCTGTATAAAGGAAGATGGGTCAAAGGCACTGAAACAGTCCTTTACAGAGGAGCATGTGAGTGCTTGGGAACCCGCAGAGCCTCTACACCTGATCCCTTTACTATTTGCTTAGGGATGTCTAGTCATTGGGTTTCAAAATAGAACATTAGTCCCATTGGCAGAAAAGAGGCACCATTGCAACACATGCATAAAATACTAAAACTTGCTGGAGAGATGGCTGCTCTTCCAAAGGTCCTGAGTTCAATTCCCAGCAACCACACGGTGTCTCACAACCATATATAGTGGGATCTGATGCCCTCTTCTGGCATAAAGTCATACATGCAGATAGAGCACTCTGGAACATGAATAATATAAACCCAGAGACAGATATTGGGGTTCAAGCTGAAGATCAGAAGAGCAAAGCCAATACACCAGAGAGCTCTTACCTCTACCAAGGCTGGGGAGATCCTGTCCTCAAGATGGCTGAAGACTAATTCTATAAGCCTGAATGCCTGTTCTGAGACCCTGCTCCTGTCTTATATACCTCTCTAGTGCTGGGATTAAAGGCATGAGCCACCACCGCTCAGCTCTATGGCTAACTAATGTGGCTTCTGGGATTAAAGTTGTGTATCACCACTTCCTAGCCTCTATGGCTATGGCTAGTTTTACATTCTGATCTCCAGGCAAGCTTTATTCATTCATAAACAACATATTGCCCCAGCTCTCATATATATAAAATATTCAAATTTGTGTTTTACTTATCTTTGATATCGAAGTAAACTGGTGTCATACAGGTTTAGTGCTGGGTGTGTGTCATGTACTGTAGGCGACTGTACATGCATCCACAAGAGCCAAATAAAAGGATATCAAGATTTATTAAAAATTATTTACAAATAACAAGGTAGAGAGCCATGGCAGTCTTCCATTCTGCCCTGGGGTGAATGGAAGCAGCAATCCGATCTCCGACCAGTGCACAAGAGAGACAGCGCCTGCCACCTTCTTTCTTTTAAAGGAGTTACATCAGCAGACAAGAAGCCATGCCTAAGGCATGTACCCCCAAGCTATTGGTGGAATAAATTCTTCCTCCTTTTGCCTAAATAAAAAGGTTCTAAACCTAATACAAAACTCTATACAATAAGAACAATTATCAAGTATTGTCCAGGAGAAAGAAAGGGTAATAACATACACAAAAATGAAACCACAACCAACAAAAATAGCATCAAGCAAGAAACACATACTAAATGACTAGGCTGTAGGTAATTGGCAAATTACAGATATTATTTCCATAGTTGTCCTATCCTGAAGAGTCTAACTCTTGTACCTAATACACCTTAGCTGAGAGAGGATAGTAACTGTGACTATCTAGTCTTCAACCCCATCAAGACCTGAGAAGGAAAAAAATACTACCTGAGTAAGCAGGAAGTGCAAGAAAATGACTTCCAAAAGATACAATGACAGAAACAGCTGCCTACCTGGACAAGTCACTCAAAGTCTCTCTGAAACGTTGGGGCAACCAACTTTGGCTATAGACCTAGAATATCTGACAGACTATTTTCAGAAGCAGGAAGAATTGAAAGACTGACCTACGCTGTCTTGGCAAGGTTCAGCAGTTGCCTAAGGCCAGTACCCCAAAGCTATTGATGAAATGAATCCCCACAGGAAAGTAACCATGGGGTCGTCATGAAACCATGTGGGAGAGCCTGGGAAGGTGCTGGTGCTCATTCTCCTGTTCATTTAACTCTGCATTCTCATCATTTTACACCTGACCTGTTAGAGAAAGACACTATCCTCTCTAATTCTTGGGAATTCCTGGAGCTATTGGGAAATCTGTTTCATCATGGTAGGTCATGAAGCTCAGTTCTCTCACGTTCATGCTGACATGTTGGGAGCTCACCATTCGGAACACTGACCATGTGATTAAAGTGTTGAGCCGTTAAGCCATGAGATGCTCACCCTGGTAGGGAAGTGATGCTGAAGACTGAGTCCACTCTGCTATCAACCAAACTTTCACACCCATATAATGAACCCTGATAAATCTCTGAACATCAGAGTCAGATGAGTGTCCCCTGGTTGGCCTATTCTGTATATTGTCACTCATTAACATTCTGGGAAAGAGATACACACACAGGGTCGATGAAGTTCCCTATATGGGACCCTCACTGACCTTGCCTGATATATTTCTCCCTTTAGTTTTGCTTTCTATTTTTTTTTACATAACAAAACTATAATCATAATGGAGCAGATTCTTTAGTTCAATGGGTTATAAACCTGCAGGTATCATGGGTTCCTGAGACTCTGCAGACAGTTGATTAAAAGTAACAGAATCCTTGGGAACTCCTGAACTTGTAGCTTGAAATAGGAAATGAGGACAGACTTGTGGAGGCAAGGCCTGAACATGTAGAATAATTTTAATTAGTAAATTGTAACGTGAAAAAATAAGAGACAGATATTGGGGTTCAAGCTTGTGGTGATATATTATTTATGATTTAATAAAGCTTGCTTGGGGGTTCAGAATGCAGAGCCAACCACAAGCTATAGAGGTCGGGCAATGGTGATACACACCTTTAATTCATTAGCCACACTAGTTAGCCATAGAAGCTGGACAGTGGTGGAACACAGCTTTAATCCCAGGACTCAGAAAACAGAGGTAGATGGATCTCTCTGTTGTTGTGCAATGACGGTTTCATATGATATACACTGAAATGTTGCCTGAAGCATTATGTATCAAACTAACTCTCAAGTGCCCTATCAAATAACATGTGCACAAATATACATACATATATATCAAATTATCAAATTGTCAACAACCATTAACATAGAAGGTGGTTATATGAGTGACAATGATACCATCCAGGCAACTTCTGTTTCAAAATATTCATGATAAGAAGTTGAAAGGGCATCCAAAGTATTAAGCAGCATACAGGCTTCCATGGGACATGTGGGTCTCCTCAGTGTCCATCTACAGGGCAGAGGCTGTCCCTAATGTGGCAGGCACCAAGGGGAGACACCAAGAATCACTAGGGGTGCCAGTAGAAGGTTGGCTATCATCTTCTCAAACTTTCTGTTGATGAAGGTCACCCAGTCTAGGATCAGCCACTCATTAGAGGCCCTCGTCAGCCTCACAGCACCCATAGTACCCTACTCACCAGGCTTTGGGTCCAAGTTCCCAGCACTGCAGGTATTGGGAGACATGAAACTGCTGATGGAAGGGTACAAATTGCCAGAGAAAATGCGAGCAAGCACTGAGGATCAAAGTGACAGTAGGTGACAATATCACCCTGTCTGTCTGAATATGCTTAAGAAGATCTTAGATGTTCTAATACCACACACACACACACACAAACACACACACACACACACACACACACAAAACAGGCAACTATGAAGGGTAATAGAGGGTGTTGTTAGCGTGATCATGGTAGCCATATCAAGGCAGTATAATGTAAATGTACATGACTTATTAGTCAGTTAGACATCAATAAATCCAAAGACAGAGGAGAGAGAGAGAAAGAGAGAGAGAAATCGGTAGAGTAACAACACCATACAATTCTATCATCAATTAAGAAGTTAGGAATCTAATAATGGACAGAGAAGCTGGTGTGCTCCACATGTGCACACAGGGGTCCTGTATAGTCTCTAGTATATGGGAAATTCTCATTATACAAGACAGTAAAGGATGGATAAATAAGTGTGTGTGTGGACCAGTATAACCATGGGTGTAACTGTGGGAAGCCTACCTAAAATGTTGTGGACATCTCTTCCACAAGAAGAACTTTGCAGGTGTCTGTGTAATGGCAGATAAAAATGCAATCATGTGTCCATGGGGAATGCCTTTTCATAAGTATATTTTCTTCATCTGACAAACTGACTTCTGTGGATCACTGCAAAAGACGTCATTCCAGCCCCAACCAGAAAGTCGATGATTTACTATAACACATTGTTCTTTGTCATTGTTGGGCTCATCTCGGTGCCAGAACCTGAAAGGGAGGAAAGAGCATCAGGGTGATTCCTACAGCAATGCTGGGGAGGAGAAAGCAAGAGTAAGCAAGCCTGAGGATGAGGCTGGAATTTGTGGAGATCAGATCAAGTGTGGACAAATCAGCCATTCTCCACCACCCACATCTGACATTTCCCTGGAAAACAGGGCCCACCGCATTCAATGTTCTCTTAGCTTGTTCTTAACTGTTCTCCCAGAACACATCCCAGAGGCTACTTCATCCCTAGGTCTTGGTACCTGGGGACTGTCATTCCATAGTGCTTATTTACTTGCTAAAAAGGTCTCTCTTTGTTCTTATGTTTTAATAAAGTTTTTTTTTTACAACAGTCTTATTTTGCTGGGCGTTGGTGGCGCACACCTTTAATCCCAGCACTCGGGAAGTAGAGGCAGGGGGATCTCCGTAAGTTCGAGGCCAGCCTGGTCTCCAGAGTGAGTGCCAGGATAGGATCCAAAGCTACACAGAGAAACCCTGTCTTAAAAAAAAAAAAAAACAAAAAAAAAACCCTTTTTAAAAAAAAAAAAAAAAAAAAAAAAAAAAACAGTAGTCTTATTTTATAGACTGGAGAACTACATAAATTATCTAGATAATCTACTTATTATAATCTACTTATTTCCGTCATCTAGGACAAGTAATTTAATATCCTGGATTCCTACATTTCTTCTCTGAAAACTTAGAATGACAGTACCATCACTACCTATTTCTCACAACAGAAATCAGGATAGAATATGGGAAAATACTAAGAGATTAGAGTTTTCTAATAATTACATAAACATGAAGCACAACAATATCAGGTTGGGGCTTTTGATTTATGAGGAATAATCAGTTATGAACTTGGCATTAATTTTTATCATAAATATGTAAATTAAAGCTGGAGAGATGGCTCAGACATTAAGAGTGCTTGCTGCTTTTCCGGAAAATGTGAGAGTTCTGTTCCCGGCACTCATATTGGCGTGGTCACACCACCTGTTACCCCAGCTCCAGGTGATCCAACACCCTCTTATGGGCTCCATGGCCCCCCACATACACATGACACACACAGAGACACACATACATACCACAAATAAAAGTAAAAATAGATCCTACTTTTTAAAATATAGATGAGTGACTGGAAGCATAACAACGCCCACCTACGGGTAAGCACCTAGATAAGTGCCCTGGGTACTTATCATTCTGCACTCTTCAAACTCCATTTCCTCATCTCTACCTGGAGCATCAGTAACACGTGTCTCACAGGACTCCTATGATGAGTCCATGGGGATAAAAGTAACTCCATCCCCAGCAGCCACACCAGGAGTGAGCCACGACTCCTCTAGGTAACTCTAGACTCACGTGGCATTTTCATTGTATGGTGTCTGGTCAACCCATCGCCACTGTCGATGGTCTGGATCCAAAAGACCGATAAAATAAGCATCACGATTACTCAGGAACTTGGTGATGAAATCCTAAGAGGAAGAAAACATAAAGCACTCAGCCTGGATGGAGGGCTGCTTTTTCTGTTATAGAAGTTTTACAAGATCTTTTATTTAATAATTTATTTAACTTTATTTTATGTGTATTGGTGTGAAGGTGTCAGATCCCCTGAAACTGAAGTAACAGACAGTTGTGAGCTGCCATGTGGGTGCTGGGAATTGAACTCGGGTCCTCTGGAAGAGCAGCCAGTGCTCTTAACCACTGAGCCATCTCTCCAGCCCCTACAAGATCTTTTAAAACTTATTCTATCTCCACAAAGTTATAGGTTCAATATGATGCACATTTGCAAACATATAATAATCAAACCTAGTTTATGTCTCTAGGCCCTTAAATAGTTGTCAAAGTTTAGATTAGTGCACAATAATTGTACATTTTAGAGGCACACTGTGATACTTTTTCTGGTCACACAGAGATGAAAAGACAAAGGAAGGGTCAAGGACTAAAGAGTCACCCCACCCCCAAGAGGGCCAACTTCCCCATCTGACCAGGACACAAAGTCATCACTCATAGACCTGATTTCCACATCACTGCAAACAACCTCTGTCCATGATCACAATGGATTTCCTCTCAGATCACTCCCCTCTGTTCTTCCCAAGACCATTCTTGAAAGTTGTGCATGACAGAATTTTGCAGATTAATCATTCTCCATTCTTAACTTCAGATATTTCATTCTGATGGGTGGCTGTGACTCTCCAGATTCCATCCTGTTTCTCTCCTCTGTTAGGCACTTGCTACTACAGGAAGCATTAGAGGGCTGGAGTCATGCACTGGTCTTTCAAACAGAAACGTTATCACCCTTCCTCCAACCTCAGGTTTTGCATTTCTGTTGCCATGGTTCCTTGTCGTCCTTAGCTCTACTGCAACAGGAGCAAGGTGCAAAATGCCAAGGCTGAAGCAACCTTCCTGGCTATCTGATGGAAAGCCTTCTGCCACATCACTAACACCCATGTCAGCAAAACTCCTGTTAGTAAAAACAGGCAGACACCAGGCAGGACGCAGGCCCCACTCCCTCCCACAATGCACCTGCTCTTCCTTGCTGTGGACCACCATCAGATGAGCGCCCACGCTGGAGCACTTCTCCTCACTCTGGCTCCAATTTGCCAAGTCATTGGAAATGGAGTAGCAGTGGGAACCAAATGCCTTCCAGTCCTTTGGGCAACAGCTCCAGACTTTGTCTATGGGGGAGGAAGGAGATGTAAGTGCAAGGCACAGTGTTTACACATGGCATAATACAAAAACACACCCAGGGCTCAGAAGAAAGTAATCATACTAAGAACCAAAACATTTTCAAACTTAACGAAACAAAGCAAGAGGTGATAGATGTCAAGAAACCAGGTAAACACTCCTCCAAGATTCTAGGAACATCAAGGAAGGGGGAGAAGAAACAGTATAAGAGCCAGATGACGGCAAGGAGTGTTGTCTTCTGGACATGTCATGGTTGTTGCACATTACAAATTCACAATGGTGGTGACCCACACGAAAGTGAGCCCGTCACCTACCCTTCCGACAGGACCTCAGCAGTTCAAGGTGGCAGAATGAGGAAGCCATGTTCTTCAGTGGAGTAGCCCGTGGAAACACTGCTGTCACTCCAGTAAAGAACCCCCCACTGTGCTCATGCAAGAAATCCTCTCTCAATGCAGTGAGTCACAGAAAGCAAGATGTTAAGTGAGAGGAAGAAGTAGAAGGGGACTTGGAACAAAGGGGCAGGGGATTAAGAGGATGATGGCAGGCTTTGATCAAAGGTAATTTGATCAAATTACCTATGTATGAAAATGTCAAAGAATATTTTTTGAAGATGCAAGATAGCAAAATTGTTAAAATATTCCGTACAATCTTTAAAGCCAACCATGATAAAAGTGCTTCAACAAGCAGGGTAACCCTCAGGGTGCAGCTGTGGCATGCATACCTTGTAACCAACGGCTCTGTAATTGGACCTAAGACCCACTTAACAAGAGAGAGCCATGACTGGTACTGGAAATCTAACCAACCACCCAGGGCTAGTGATGTCATGCATCTTGGAGAAGAACCTACAACAGCTACTTTATTTAACATGAAAAATCGCCAAGTACATTGTAAATCTTTTTCCTTACACCCACAGGTAAGTGTAATCCTCACCTCTCATCAAGGACACTTCTCTTTGCAACATACAGAGACCATTACAGAAAAACACAACCAACCAAAATACAGAGTTGAGGAGCCCGTTCCCAAGGGAAACATCTACAAAACAACTCCAGCACCTAAGGTTCAGGGATCCTCTTATTAAGACAGGGTGGAAAGAGTATAAGACTGAGAGGAACAGGGTTTTGCTGTGAGATTGTGTCTCCTAGGAATGTCAGAACCTACACCCATAAAGTCTCACCAACATGACTGCCTAAACATGAGCTAAACAAGGACAACAATAGACATGCTAACATGAGTTGGGGGTGAGGCAGGGAGTCTACAAGGCCTCAACCCTATGCAAAGAACCACAGGCAACCGAGGAAGGCCGAAAGAGGAAGAAACAGTCTTCCCCAGGGAAGATCACACCCACTGGTTATCCAATACCAAACGGTCAGCCCTGAAAACACACACAACTAACATTCTACATAATGAGCAGGTTGTACTGATGAACTTATTTTTTTCTTCAAGGAGAGCCTTTGGGAATAGATGATAGATAGATGTATATATATAATTTATACATATTCATGTACATATGTAGCAACAATTATTTTTTAAAAAGAGGTCATGAACCTGAAAAAGCAAGGGGGAGTATATGGGAGGGTTTGGATACGGGAAGGGGGAGGGGGGAAGTTATGTAATTGTATTATAATCAAAAAATAGAAGACATAATTATAAATGCTTCAGTGAGAAGATACAAACATCTTTGAAAAGATAAAAGCAGCAAAAAAGCAGATGTAATAAGAATCAAAATGGAATTTTTTTACTTTAAAAAAATGCAATAACCTTCTCAATTTATAATAAATGGAGCCAATAGCAGAAGGGAGGAGACAGACAAATCAGTGAACTGTCGAATGAAACAATAAAAAATACCAACTTAACAAAAGTGAAATACGCAGAAAAAGTAAATACAGCCTCGTGTTATGATCCTAAATGTGAACATATGAGATAACACAGGACCAAGATACATGGAGTGTAAGCTGACACATGGGAAAGGGGAAATGGAGCGCTCAGAAATAGATAGGACCACTCCGAAAAACAGGAAGAGTGTTAAGGGGTATTTCCCAACATGGTGGAGATAAATCATATATCAGTAGACAAGATAAAACACACAAAAAAGTCTTAGAACTAATTAACACACTTCTAAATAATACAGGTGTCAAAACATCAAGGTCTATTTTTAAAACACACGGAACTGGTCTGGGTGAGGCTCAGAGTGTTTGCCTAATGAGCAAGAAGCCCTGTGTTGTGGGGCGGTGGTGGCGCACGCCTTTAATCCCAGCACTCGGGAGGCAGAGGCAGGTGGATCTCTGTGAGTTCGAGGCCAGCCTGGTCTACAGAGCTACACAGAGAAACCCTGTCTCGAAAAAAATGAAGAAGGAGGAAGAGGAGGAGGAGAAGACTAGGGAGGTAGAGGCAAGAGGATTCAAAGTTTAATGTCATCTTCAGCTGCACAATGAGTTTGAGGCCAGCCTGAGCTTCATGGGACTCTATCTCAAAATAAAACTAAACTGAACAAAAATACAGAATGTCAAAACTTGTAGGACACTATTCTTCAATAAAAGGATCCAGGGCAGTGAAATGGCTGAGATGGGGATGGAGACTATGCATCAGGCATCTAGGACAGAGCCTTTCTAAATCCCAGAAGCAAGGAAGCAAACAAACTGTTGAAAGTGATATGTCAAAAGGGCAGAAGGACTAATGGGAAGTCGTCCTAAAACACAAAGGCAGAAAACACAAAGTGTCAAATTATAATACAAAATAAACGTTAACTGGTACATGAGGATACAAATGATTAAGGACAATAATAAATGAATAGAAAAGACAAAACTCATATGCATAAGAATCCCTAAATAATACGTTTTTAGGTCTAATGACTAATAGTCCAAGACTTAATATGTAATATGGAAATACATATGTAGGGCACTTTACACCCTGCATTTGACAACTGGATTCAAGGCACATTAAGTTTTACTTACCTTCCTCAGATGAGTGGTTTTTCATACAATGCAATTTTGTGTGATTCAGTTGTTCTATGGTATTTTTTTCTTCAAGGAGATCAGAATACAATTGAAACAAAACTGGAAAAAAGAATAAAAGATATTCATTTTCCTGGTAGCATTGTAATTTTACACATTACTCATATCTTCACACACACACACACACACACACACACACACACACACACACACACACACTTTTTGCTTGTTTGTTTGGTTGGTTGGTTGGTTTTTCATGGCAGGGTTTCTCTGTGTAGCTCTGATTGTCCTGGAACTCACTCTGTAGAGGAGGCTGGCCTCAGACTCACAGAGATCCACCTGCCTCTACTTCCTGAGTACTGGGACAGAAGGTGTGCATCACCAGTGCCCAGCATTTGGTTCTTTGAGGCAGGGTCTAGCTGTGTAGCCCAGACTCATCTCACACCCACAGTTCCCCCATCTTCCCTCCAGAGAACTAAGCCTGAACCCTCACTCTTGACTCTTAGTTTAATGAACCAAACTGGCATAGTAATCCCAGTTTAAAACTACTCCCAGATAGGGAGCTGGGGGTGGATCTGGGGAGAACTAGCGGAAAGAATGTGGGTGAATATGACCAGAATACATTGTATGAAGTTCTCAAACAATAGAAATATATTCTTAAAATAAAAAGGAAATACTTTTTGTCTGTAATTTGTGATGAACACTTTTTTAACTAACTGACCTATGCCTTTAGAATTGGGGCTTTTCTCTTTCCTCACTACACCCTATTTGCTCCTTGACACACCACGTCTTGGCTGTTGCTTCTAACATTTCACTAAAACCATCCTTGAGTCACACATGATGGTGCCTACATAAAATCCAAAAACTGGGGAGGTGGAGACATGAGGATTTCGAATTCCAAGCAAGCCTGGACTACATATCAAGTTCAAATCCAGTCTGGGCTCCAAAGTGGGGAGGTGTTTAAAAAAAAAAAATCAGGGGTTGGTGGCGCACGCCTTTAATCCCAGCACTGGGGAGGCAGAGACAGGTGGATCTCTGTGAGTTCAAGACCAACCTGGTCTACAAGAGCTAGTTCCAGGACAGCCTCCAAAGCCACAGAGAAACCCTGTCTCGAAAAACCAAAAAAAAAAAAAAAAAAATCATTGAAATGGATTATCAGTAATACCCCAGGGTACTTACTGTCATCTTGCTGTTGGACCTGACCCCAGTTCTCTCCCTCCTCAGCTCTTAGGACAGTGTTCTGTTTTGCCTCACCTTCCTTGCCTTCACTTCTGACTTACTGTCTTTTATAATCTCCTCTCCTTCCATTCACCCCTTTAGAAAGGCAACACTGCCCGCTGTCTCATCATTATCCTTCCTTCTCAGGCTTCCCTCCTCCCAAGTGATGGCGTGCATCCCACGGTCTCGCCTGCTACCTAAAGGTGAAGGCCTGGAAAACCTCAGGCCTGCCCTCCTGACACCCAGACAAGGGTGTGCTCACTAGACGTGGCACTTGAAGATAAACCCAACACAATCCCAACCCAAATGAACATCTTCTATCCTAAGCCTGCACCTTGCCCTGTGTGTTCTACCTGTGTGAACACCTCATCACGGCCGGGTCTACCAAGTCCAGGTGCTGGAGTGGCTTCACTCACCGGGTCCCTTAATCCTATTTGTCAACCACACGTGGCTTCGTCTCTTCTTCGCTTGGGTTATGTGTCCTAGACAAGCTTGCTTAGCTTTCCCCATATTTTCTTATGCTCTCATACTTCCAGGACACTGCTGCCCCACACAGGTCCAGATGTCACCTCTGCCAAGCCTACCTCAGGCCCCTGTGCTCACACCCTACCTACACAACACTTACTATACAATTCTGTAAAAATTACTTCACTTGACCACTCTAAATTTTTTTGAGAACAGGGGCTGTTATTCTTTCTGGACTCTCTAACACACTGTCTATCACTCAGTTAATGGACATTACTAATTATTGAGGAGAAAGATAAAATCAAATACACAAAAATACACTAATTTTACCTTTTATTTTTAGACAAGTTCTGACTATGTAGCCCTGGCTGGCCTGGAACTCACAAAGATCTATCTGCCTCTGCCTCCTGAGTGCTGTGATATTAAATTAAATTAATTAAAGGTATTAAGGGCATGTGCCACCACATCTGGCCTTGCCTTTAAATTTTTTAATAAATTCTGAAAGTCAGCCTGTTTGCTAAATTGGCTTCGATTTCATGTAGTCTGGAGCAGGAATAAATAATTAGGAGTTACACTGGAGCTCTGTCCCTGGAATAGCTTCACCCATCGCTTCTCATCTTTCTACTTTTTCCAAAATATGAGTGCCTGTGTGCCCATGGGGCTGGCTTCTAGATGCTGCTGAGGAAACACAGATCCATCCTCAGTACTGGAGTCTAACACACATGACCAGGGTTTCACTCTGTGACACCAACAAACACACTTGCTTCTCCAGTGAGAACGAATGACTTTACAAAAGAGTTGTTCTAAGACAGTGAAAAATTCCCAATGTCATCTACCTCACCAGAGAAAGCATCTGTCTCGAGTTTCTAGGGAAAACCACTGATAATTATCTGTCTCTAATGGATGTCTCTCTTCATACAAGCCAGGCGTTACTTACTTACTCCATTGGCATACTTACTGTTCAAAGCAACAGAGGATGAGATTGCCAACAGCAGGAAAAATATCATTGAGGCAAGGAGCAGCGTGGGAAAGCCAGGATTACTTTTGTGAATGGTGGTCTTCTTTGGCGGACCTTAAAGGAAAAACCAAACTAAGTAAATCAGTAGTGAATTTTGTTATTTCCTCTTTGTCCTCTTCTTTTCTACCATGAAATATTAATAGTATAGACTCTTGGAACAACATAAAAATTGAATAGGAGAGAAACAATGATGTCCACTGAATAAGATGAAAGCACAAGTTTCTATCAGAGACAATAACTCGTTAATAGATATTTGAGAAACACATATGAGTGTAGGTATATATTCTTTCACAGAGTTTTAAACTATATATATATATATATATATATATATATATATATATATATTTATGAATATATATATCAATATATATATATATATATATATATTTAATAATTTTTTATATTCCATAATCACTCATTTCTGCTGTTATTCTGTTATTTTCCTTCACATTGTATCATAAACATTTTTAGTTTGGCTACATGGCACTTCATTGCATATTTAAATAATCTCCCAAAGTGTTTCCAATATTTCTTTAAAACATGCAAAAACTCATTGATAAGCCTGTGCAAGCATATTTCACACGTCTAGGATGTGGTGTAAGGTTATCTTTTTAGCTACTGTCTCCTGGTTAGAAACCATTTTCTGGGTTGAAGGGGACTAAGAGGGGAAGAGTGTGATAAAAGGGAGGGAGAATTAACAAGAGAGTAGGGGGGGGGGGGGGGGGGGGGGAGAGGAACTATCACAGCTGCTTTCACGTTTGCGGGATCCAGAGCTCACTGTCTATAAATACACAAGCAAACTTGTGGCATGAAAGCCAGAAGGAGGAATGGCTCAGGAAGGGAAAGGGATGACCAAGAATTGGGGGGGGGGGGCGCTAGGGATACGCACAAGGGATACTGTGTGTTTGTATAAAATGCCATAGTCAATCAACTGGATGCTTTGCATGCTAGCTAAAGAAACAGTTCTAAAAACTAAAATTCTCAGGAATAGTATAGGCCCCTGTAACTCTAGTAACAGAGCTTACATCCAGTGTGTGTGAGGTCCTGCATCCATAGCAGAATGAGTGGAGAAAGGACCACGCAAACTGTCCTTCAAAATAAAACTGCCCCCAAAATACAAAGTAATTTCTTAAAGTTATAGTATGCTGTCAAGTAAGTAGAAAACTAAGAACTTCAGTATTATATCACATTATCACATTTTCACGGGGAAAGTAGAGTTCTACATTTGTCAAAAATTCATGCTTTCTCTAAATATGCAGTAGAGAGTTCGAGACCAGCCTGGTCTATAAGAGCTAGTTCCAGGACAGCCTCCAAAGCCACAGAGAAACCCTGTCTCGGAATAAAAACAAGCAAACAAACAAAAAAAAAAAAAAAAAAAAAAAAAAAAAAAAAAAAAAAAAAAATTGGCAGTAGAATCCAGACTTTCTCTAAATGGTGAAAATAAAGACAGTATCACGAGCTTTCTTCTTTCCCATGTACAAGGCTCTCCACAGACAATTCAAGCAGGGAGACTCCTGCCTCCCATACACTGCCCTCAGACAGCCAGCAGCTAAGATTCCCCCCAGGCCTTGCTCATAAACACTCCTTCTTCACCTCACCATTAGCTTAGACCACCAGAAAACGAGGTTGCATTGTTCTGGAGGTGGGGGAGGGTTACCTGACGATGAGTCTGAGACAGTGCCTGAGGAAACAGGTTGAGTTTTGAAGTTCACGTCAGTGTAAATGTTTGGTGAAGCCATATTGAGAAGAGACCCGCTTTCTTCAGAAAACCCGCGTCATTCTTAATTTTCTTTTGCTTTGTTATAAACAAGAGCTAAGCGTGATGCTAAGTATCCCACCACCAACCAGAAGGTGCAGAGGCCCACAGAAGTGGGCAAGCACCTCTGAGACCACAGCAGGAGAGTTTAAAACCACCGGTGGAATTCTCTGGTCCACAGAGAGGTCCGATCCCCACAGTCAGAAGAAAGAAAGGCTTTAAACCTATTCGGGTGGGATAAGCAGATACTGTGAAACGTGGGCTGAAGGGGGAAGGGGAAGAAACGGGAAGGAACGGAAAAGAGGAAACAGGCGGTAGAGACGTCTGTGCTGAGACCCGAGCTCTCTGCGCTCTGCAGCGGAATTCGTGGGCTTCCACATGCAAACAAGATTTCTGAAGAAGCAGCCAGCGTGAGCTAACACCGCTAACCCTGCAGCCACAGCTTCAGCGGCACAGTCGGGTTCTAAGGGGCTCCTCTCCAGCTAAGTAGAATGTGCACGACTGTAAGATCGGCAGGTTTTCTAAGTCCCTCTGGCTCCCAACGTCAGCAATCTGTGTTCCTTCTTTGTGTGAGTGAAGAGCTCCCGAAACAAGCCAGTGCCCTGGGATGGGCTCTGGACTCCCTTTTCTGCTGTGTCAAGTGCCCTGCTTTGCTTTTCCGGTTAAGGTAGGGTTGGGGGCGGGGGGTCAGCCACCTCTCCCAGCTGTTCCTCTGCTTTCTCCAGATTACTCTGCGGCAGACCGTGTCTGGATGTCGTCTACTGTCTTCGTTCACTCTGCGAGCTGCTCCTGAGCCAGGCGTGCACCCCACACACCCCCGAGTTTGTTCTGCATCTTCACAGGAACATGAGGGGGGCTCAAGACACTGGGTGATAAACCCTTATCTGTCTTCCCTGCCGAGTCAGCAGAGTTCTTTTCAACTCAAGCACAGGAGGATATGTTGGGCTTGACTGTGAAGCGCAGGTGCCCCCAACACACAGGCTTCCACACTGTGGGGCTGGAGCGAACAGGCCCACCTAGAAATGTGGCAAAGCTGCAATAAGCAAGAGAAACGAGGGAAAATCTCAGAAGTAGATACTGGAGGTATGCCAGAAGAAAAAAAGCCAAATGCTAGCAAATCAACAAGCATTCCTTTTTTCTTTCTTTCTTTCTTTTTTCTTTTTTCTTTTTTTTTAGACAGGGTTTCTCTGTAGCATTGGAGCTTGTCCTGGAACTTGCTCTTGTAGGCCAGGTTGGTCTCGAACTCACAGACATCCGCCAGCCTCTGCCTTCCCAGTGCTGGGATTAAAGGCGTGCACCACCACTGCCCAGCTCAACAAGCGTCCTTAAAAATACCTGAAACTCAGAAAACAAACACTAGATATAAATATGGACATATGCATATATAGATATATTTGGTTTTTTGAGACAGTGTTTCTCTGTGTAGCTCTGGATATCCTGGAATTTGGTCTGAAGACCAGGCTGGCCTCAAACTCAGAGAGATCCAACTGCCTCTGCCTCCCAAGTGCTGGGATTACAGGCATGCACCACCATCTCAAGGCAACATTAGATATCTTAAACTGAGTGCCATGAAATACTTAAAAAGCTATCCAAACAACTAGCTCAGAATGAACCAATGAAGCATCCAACAAACCAAGGGAGGTCCAAGCCACCAGAAGGAACTCACCCAAGAAGGCAGTGGTAGACAATTGAGCACAGGGGTCCACGCAGTGGACCACCTGGTGCCAAGGTAGCAAATGTCTCCAGTGAAAAGGAACCATCTTGGGATCCCACATTCAAGTACCAAAAGCTGCCAACCCAAAATCACAGCTCTCACCTCAAGAAAAATAAGTGGCAGATTCTGGAGTCAAATGTGAGTGAGTGACAATGACCTGGGAACATGGAGTCATATTCCCAACACCATGTTGTAATGTGCTGACAATTTCATAAAGTTTTTACAATTTATAACAAAAGGAGAGACATAAATTCAAGTGTCTTTAAATGTCTTGGTGGTCTAGAGAGATGGCTCAGCAGCTAAGAGCACCTGTTGCTCTCGCAGAGGACTGACTTGGTTCCTAGCACACACATGGTGGTTCACAACCATCCTTGACTCCATGCCAGACAATGGGAAGTCTGTCAACCTCTTTTGACCTCCAGAGGCATCAGGCATGCATGTGACTCACGTGTCTGCAGGCAATACACTCACAAATATAAAATGTGTAAAATTTTTAAGTATTTTATTTTACGTGTCTGGATATTTTGCCTGCATGTGTGTCTGTGTACCATGTGCAGGGCATACTGAGGTAAGAGGGGCACTGGGTCACCCGGAACTGGATGGAGTTAGAGACAGTTGTGAGCTGCTGTGTGGGGACTACAAATTGAACCTGGGTCCTCTGGAAGAGCAGCAAGTACTCTTAACTGCTGAGCCATCTCTCCAGACCCATAAAATTAATGAATCTTAAACATTAATTAAAATACGTTAGTAGACGGTTATGGCAAAGTGGGGTTATGGGCCTCACATGCTATCGGATGACATTCTCAGCCTCTAAGTTGGCAGAAGCTAGTGGCTAATACTTTCCCAAAGGGTTTATGTCACAGTCACAAGAGTGTTAGGTAAAACACAGAGGTGGGCGATGAATGATTAGTAAGGGATATAAAAAAAATATTCCAAGATAACGTGGATCTGGGGTGCTGCAGCACCCCAAATCTCCACAGTCACGTGAGTCCAGCCAATCAGCCCTGGAGAATCTCCACACCGGTGACACCTTCTTTCTTTCAGCTCACACAGTAAAGAGGGCATCTATGTAATAGGATGGTCTGGTACAGGAATGTGAAATCGTTGAACAGGACTGCCCAGCCATCATCTAGCAGAAGGCCACGTAGGCACCAAAGTCTGGGAGCCAAAGCAGAGGAACTTTCTCACAGACTCCAACTGCTCACAGATCAGAAAGAATCTCACAGAGGTAGAGCGAACCGTGTAAACTCCAAAGGAATGTACTCCACCTGCGAAGCTTGTGCACTGTACCCGATCCATCAAAGGGAGACCCTGAGGGAAGAACAGAGCCACCTGTGGCAGGGAACTCCCAGGAGTGAGAAGGGTTTCTGAGAGCTAGGGGAGGGACAAGAGGCTTGCCAGAAAGTTCTCATGTTGTTTGTTCACAGCAGCTCTTTCTGGCCGTATCTATCCTTCCCTTACTAAATACCCAGTATTAGCTCAGCAGGCTGCTACACTGCCCAGCCCTGCTGTTCTTGTCCCATACCAACCACTTCTGTTTCTTGTTACTTTTGTTTTCCCTTTACCCCTCTCCTGAAGAACACAGGCTGGCCTGATTTGTAGGGTTTCCATGTCCCATCCTTCTGGAAGGTGATATTTTTAACAAAATCTCAATCGTTCAACTTGGGAGCCAGATGCTGGGGTGAAAACCTGCTAACTCAGAGAGGCAGAGAAAGCCCCCAGCTGACCTTCCTCCTCAGCTGCCATCCCAGAAAGCTCTCTCCTACCATCTCAAACAAGTCTCCTCAAACTCAGTGCCCCTCCCCTCTACTTCCTGTGCATCTCTCTATCCATCCTCCTGACTCCCTCTTTCTCTCTGTGTTTTTCTTACATTACCTTCCTGACAATTGGTTGCTTGCTCCACCCCTTGATCTATGGTTGACTTTATTTAATCCTGTTTACAATATTCAAGCAGAAAGCTTTTGGATTAAAGGTGTGTGGTAGGGCTGAGCCACACCACAACTAGAAATAGGTTTTTCCAACAAATAACGCAACCTCGGGGTTCACAGTGTGATCAAATACCCTGTATCAGGAAGACAAGGCTGCTGTGTGTTATCTGATCACACATCTCTACCTCTCTCACTCCCCATTTCATCATCCCCCATTTCCATCCCTATAGTCCCCCTACTGTTTATATGCCCCTCATCTGCCTTCTGGCACCCCAATACTGACTACTATGCTTATTCCACTCTTTTCCTTCCCACTCAGACACACAGTAACTACTAGAGTCCCTTTGCTCTCTAAAGTGACTGGCATGCAAGGAGTGGTTTATTGTTTTAGTTAACTGTTATTCTATTTTCATAATAAATGTACTCACAGGTAGTGTCTATTGCTATAGACAGTATTTTACTCTCAAAGGAGTGCTGGGGAGCAAGTCTGGGACACTGAATAGCAATCTAACATGGGAAAAATCACACCTCAGCCTACTACAATCCTGTCTGTCTTAAAAACTGTAAACACAAGAGACTGGAGAGATGGCTCAGTGGTTAAGATAACTGACTGCTTTTCCAGAGCACCCAGGTTCTATTCCCAGCACCACATGGCAGCCCATAACCTTCTGTAACTCCAGGCCCAGGGGATCCAATGCCCTCTTCTGGCTTCTGTGGGCACCATTCATACATGTGATACACAGACATACATACAAGTAAAACACCCAGCACATAACATAAATAATATTACTTTTTAAAACATGCAAATGTTCCACTGAAAGAAATGTACAAATCTTTGTTTTAATTATTCAACAACCAGACTCCAAGTGTTTTTTTAGTGGAAAACTAAAAACAAAAATGTAAAAGTCCAGGACAACATAGCTCCTCCAAAACTTCCCAATCCCACAGTAATTGTCCCCAATGAAAGTGACTTAGAAGAAACAGAAGACAAGCATTTCAAAAGAATGATAGTAAATATGTTCAAGTAAGTCAAAGAGGACACAAACTCTTAGATGAATCCCAAGACACAAACAAACATGTGAATGAAACATGACAGTCAACTCAGGATGTGAATACGTAACAATGAGGAGATGGGAATTCTGAATAAAAAACAAACTGAAATGATGCTGGAAATGAAAACTTCAGCAAGTCAAATATAGTGCTCAGTGAAAGACTGTGTAGTGGGATGGATCGCCATAAGGACAGACGATTGGGGCTTGATGACAAGGGAAAGGAACTGGTACATCCAGTCAAGAACTATGTTGTAAGCACACAAGTGGAACACGCAAGATTTTGAGATGC